CGTCAAACTGGGAGATGGACCCCAGGACACATCTGGCATAAGTAAGAAGCATGCCATGGTCAGATATCTGGATGGTATCAAATGTGAACTGAGCAGCAACAAGGGTCCAATCCCATGACCATAGCCTAATCAGTAGGAACTACCTAGGAGGCAGGGCACCTGTCCTAGGAAGGATGTGTGGTTGGACATGATTCAGTCTTAGAAGCACACAAGTCTGGATTCTGATATTGCTTCCTCCTCGAAGCAACTATTTCTCAATTTACTACCTTTCTGCAAAGCTCCAGGAGAGGATGCACTTTCTTTTGTGCACGTCTGAAGAACCAACAAGTCTCTACCTAATATCTCACTTTTCCAACAAACAGAAGCCGACTCTTGCCATTATCACCAAGAAGCCTTTCTCTCAGCCTCCAATGTGTGAGTCTTTCTTCCCAGTTCCAATGCCCGTGCGGGGAAAGGGTATTCTTCTCATCTTGCATTGGAACACAAGAATGAATTTTGCCTCAGAAACAATGTTATAAATAGAAAACAGGTTTAATGTTATAAATAGAAAATAGGTTTTCATGAATTAGCAAAATTAGAATGATGTTTCAGGTATGTTCTAGGTTATATAGGATTGTGTAAACTACGCAGGGGATTGGATTACCAACTATACTATTACTTCAGTGGAAGACTTTTTGTAATGCTTTAAAATGAAATTTTGGGTTGCAATTTTTCCACTGGTGGGGACTATCTATTCTTAAAAATAGAGCAAATTCCTTACTAGTGATTGCTTAATACTACATATCTTAAATTTAACACCATTCAAAAAATACTGGTTTTATCATTAATTATGTCTGGTGTTCAAGTCCGTATTGTTGAAAAATAATTGACCCCCGACCCCCATTCCAAAAGTAGGACTCCATCTTTACATCTGGAGGACAATTCTAGTCACATAAATGTAATTCCAGTAAATACTTCTCCAATCAACTCTTAGTTGCCCCAAGTTATTCCTGGGGTAAACTGGAATGACTGTCTTAACTCCCACCCTACTCTTAAAAACAAAACAAAAACCCACTGTCATCAAGTCAATTCCAATTCATAGTGATCCCATGTGTTACAGAGCAGAATTGCTCCATAGAGTTTTCTTGGCTGTACTTGGCAGACTGCCACATCTTTCTCCCGTGGCACTGCTGGTGATTTCAATTGCCAACCTTTAGGTTAGCAGTCGATTGCTTTACCCACTGCACTACCAGGGCTCCTTTTACCATTGAGCCAGTGGGATTGCAAAGCACTTGAGCCACCTGACCTGCCCTACTGACCATAAGCCTTTAACCCTTGATGGATGAAAAGAATTACCTGAGAGGCACTTTTAAAAGCAAGAAGCCCCAGCCCAGTAATGAATTAGGATCTTATGGGAGAAGTCTGGAAGCCCCACTGGGAGAGCTCCTCCCTGGTAATCCTATCAAACAACCCAGTGGCTCTCACGCCTGAGGTGTATCAGGATCACCTGGAAACCCAATGCCGTGGAGTCAATTCCGACTCAGTGACCCCACAGGACAGAGTAGAACTGCCCCATATGGTTTCCAAGGAGTGGCTGGTGGATTCGAACTGCCAACCTTTTGGTTAGTGGTTGTAGCTCTTAACCTCTTTGCCACCAGGATCATCTGGAGGGATCGTTAAAACACAGGTTGCTGAGTCCCACCCCTCACAGAGGTTCAGATCCAGTAGGCCTGGGGTGGGGCCGGATAATCTGCATCTCTAGCAAGTCCCCCAGTGATGCTGACGCTGCCCATCCCACACTTATTCAGCCTGTTTGGCGAACATCACGGCTGAATTCCGTATTACCTTTTTTCTGCCCTACCTAGCAGAAAAGCAACATCGGATTTGGACTCACAAGGTTTTGTTTTTAAATCACACCCGTGGTACTCTTTAGCTGCCTGATCTTGTTGTTGTTGTTAGGTGCTGTCGAGTAGACTTTGACTTATATTGACCCCAAGTGACAGAGTAGAATTGCCCCATGGGGTTTTCTTGACTATAATCTTTATGGGAGCAGATTTCTAGGTCTTTCTCCCCCAGAGCCACTGAGTGGGTTTGAACTGCCAACCTTTTGATTACCAGCCTAGAGCTTAACCGTTGCTCCACCAGGGCCCTAAATAAGTAAGTAAACTTACCAGTCCATCTCAGTTTTCTCTTATTGTAAGCATTAAATAAGACAACATCAGGGCATCGAATTGATTTAGTCTGGTTCAACGCCCTGCTGAGAATTTGCATTTCTACATTTTAACAAGTTCCCCAGGTGATTCTTATGTATAATCTACATTTTAAAAAGATCCTGCAGGTAATTCTTATGTATACAGTCTATCTGATTCAGTATATCTAGGGTGGGGTGGGGGGGTGGGGGTGGAAAACAAATTCTCAGCAGGGGTCTAACTGGAACGAACCTGTTAGAAGCCCTGGGTAACATAGGGATGAGGTTTGGAACTGTACTTGGCACACAGTAGACCTACATTAAACATTTGTGTGCTCTGATCTCCTTGCGATGATCCTCCTCTGGACTCTTCTATTGTAAGAGCTACAAATGAATTAACTGAGTTCTAGAAATAGTTCCCAAAATTTGTTACACATAAAAAACTTTATTTTGTTAAAACAAACAATGACTGACCACTCCTTTTCCTTGTGAGCTAGCTATCATGTAGCTACATTTTGAACATAACATGTTCTATGTAAATATGCTCAGCTTCCCAACTCACATTTTTCCACAGACTAAAAACAGAAAAGAAAGGAAAGAGAGATTAGATTACAATTAGGTTCTCTGTTTAATTCTGACCAGGCTGAACTTAGTACACAGGTATGGATTATCGTCCTGGCAGATATTTATTATATTGTTTGGCTATTGCTTATGACTTGAAAATCAAAATGAATCACAGATTCTTAGAGTCAAAGAGGCCCTGGAGGTCATCTAGCCCAGCCACCCATCCTTTGAACGTTGCTAAAAAAATATCCAATGATGGTCCAGCCTCTTCTTGGACATCCAATGAGAAGCATGCATTATTTTCACAAGACTCCAATCTTCTTTTCAGATAATGGTCTCATGGTTAGTTTCCTCCTACCTTGACCAAACATTTTTATTTCTGTCACTTTTACATCCTTAGTCCTAGTTTTTCTTCAGTTCTTGCAGCTTGAGAAATGCTGAGTGAGTTCTTCCCTTTTGGTTTTCTAACTCCACATCTTTGAACACTTCATTATAATACTTTGTCTTCTCGAGCCGCCCTTTGAAATCTTCTGTTTAGCTCTTGTACTTCATTATTTCTTCCATTTGCTTTAGCTACTCTACGTTCAAGAGCAAATGTCAGAATTTCTTGTTTACATCCATTTTGGTCTTTTCTTTCCTGTCTTTTAATGATCTTTTTCTTTCTTCACGTATGATGTCCTTGATGTCATCACACAACTCGTCTGTCTTCGGTCAAATCTATTCTTGAGATGGTCTCTAAATTCAGGTGGGATATTCTCAAGGTTGTACTTTGGCTCTTGTGGACTTGTTTTATTTTTCTTCACCTTCAGTTTGAACTTGCACTTAAAATCAGGAAAGGTGTGCATGAGGGTTGTATCCTTTCACCACACTTATTCAACCTGTATGCAGAGCAAATAATCCAAGAAGCTGGACTATATGAAAAAGAAAGCAGCATCAGGATTGGAGTAAGGCTCTTTTATAACAACCTGTGACATGCAGATGACACAACCTTGCTTGCTGAAAGTGAAGAGGACTTGAAGTACTTACTGATAAAGATCAGCCTTCAGTATGGATTACACCTCAATATAAAGAAAACAAAAATCCTCACAACTGGACCAACAAGCAACATAACGATAAATGGAGAAAAGATGGAACTTGCCAAGGATTTCACTTTACTTGGATCCACAATTAGCAACAATGGAAACAGCAGTCAAGAAACCAAAAGACGCAGCAGTGGGCAAACTGGCTGCAAAAGACCTCTTTCAAGTGTTAAAAAGCAAAGATGTCACCTTGAGGACTAAGACGTGCCTGACCCAAGCCATGGTATTTTCAGTTGCCTCATATGCATGTGAAAGCTGGACAGTGAATAAGGAAGACTGAAGAAGAATTGACACTTCTGAATTATGGTGTTGGTGAAGCATATTGAATATACCATGGACTACTACAAAAACGAACAAATCTGTCTTGGAAGAAGTGCGGCCAGAATAGAATGTTCCTTAGAAGTGAGGACGGCAAGACTTTGTCTCACATACTTTGGATATGCTATCAGGAGAGCCAGTCTCCTGGAGAAGGACATCATGCTTGGTAAAGTAGAGAGTCAGTGTAATAGAGGAAAACCTTCAACGAGATGAACTGACACAGTGGCTGCAACAACGGGCTCAAACATAGCAATGATTGGGAGGATGGTGCAGGATCCAGCAGTGTTTTGCTCTGTTGTACACAGGGTCTCTATGAGCTGGAACTAACTCGACAACACCTAAAAACAGTAACAACAGTCCTAGTTTGCCCTCTTTATCGCCTCAAATGTGTTTAATTTCTCCTCCACATGACATTTAAAGTATTCGAAAATAGCACTGACATCTTTCTTCTCTATTCCTTTTCAACATAAACATTCTCTGTTCTTTTAACTATTCTCACCATCAAATTTTCCATATACTTAATAGACACTCTTGGTCCTTCTGCTATGGACAAAGTGTATATCTTCATATTCTTTCACTAAAAAGACAATAATCTGCTGCAAGTTCATCAATAAAAACAAGGCAAACTGTAAGAACAGTGGAATCATCCTTCCCAAACACAGCTTTCAAGAGCCGTAAGCTAGAGTCATACAAAACTACACTGTTATGATCGAGAAGGTAGTTCCAGGACAGGCCTGGAAGTGGTGGTCCAAACAGGTGGATTTGGATATTATGACCCTACTTGAAACAGAAGTGCTATGCTGCCACATAAACTACCGAAGATCCCAAGTCTCTTGTCAAAGAAAACAGAGTGAAAAAAATGCATTTCTTACTTTCTACGAAACATTTCTGCAAATATGCAGCCAACACTCCAGAGATCCACAGGGGTGGCGTAGCTGGACTGAAGCAAGACTTCTGGAGCTCTGTACCACAGCGTGACGACCTGCAAAGGCAAACAGACTGAGCGTTACTGAGGAAGACGGCTGTTTGTTTAAACTCTTCATCCTGGGTGGCTTAATGCCAAGATTCAGTTAGGAAAGGACTCTGATAAATCATATGGAGACACTGAGAAAGAAGCAACAAGCAAATGGGACTCATCACTGACCTAAACCAAAACCTACTGCCATGTAGTTGATTCCAACTCATAGTGACCCTATTGGACAGAGGAGAACTGTCCCATAGGGTTTCCAAGGCTGTAAATCTTTACTGAAGCAGACTGCCACATCTTTCTCCTGTGGAACATCTGGTGGGTTCGAACCACTGATCTTTTGGTTAACAGCCGAGCGCTTTAACCACTGCACCACCAGAGCTTGGTCATAACTGACAGACCAGGAAATTACATCATCCCCACAACCTGGCTACAGCCTTAAACTCTGTCTTACTAGGATGGAAAAATGATAACAGTTTCAGAAAGAAAAGCAAAGACTTAAAATCTTCAAACAGTTAAAATAGTTTTAACTTTAAATAGTTAAAAAAAACTATTATTTTTTTCCCTAAGCTTAAAAACATAATACTTGGAAAACAGGTGATAGCAATGATTCCAGCTCAACTCCCAAGTCAGTATTACTGGAAAATTAGAGGATGATTCCAGCGCCTGGTGGATAGTGACCCTGAAGCCTACAGAGCACCCAAGACAAGTCAAAACTGTTCTTATCATGAGACTGTGGGGAATCAAAATAAAGTCCCCCTTCAATGTCACCCTTTACAGAAAACAACTCAAAAATGGGAAAAGAACATGAGAGAATGTGTAATCCAAAACTGTTCATACTGTGTGTAAAAAAGTCACTCAGAGAAAGGGATTCCAAAATGAGGAGAACCCCATTTAATGTAGAGCTGGGCATAATAAGAGAAGAAACAAGCAAACGTGTAATTATTATCTGTCAGGTTGAGAGATTGGGAAAACATATCAACTGTTAAGGCTTCACGTTTGTAACAGCAAATAGGGGCTCAAGTGCTTTTTTTGGGAGAGGGGAGCAGATATTTCATGGATGCCCGAAACAAAGGTTTATTCCTTACTGTCAGATAAGTTCAATAAAGAAATCCATTACATAAGCATTTTATATTATTCAGATCACTTTTACTCTTACTTATTGTTTTGCCTATCTGTATTCTGTTAATATCTATCTAAATTTCCTGAAGTTCGGCTGTATGTATTATGATGCTATCACTTGCTGCATAAAGATTGTGGTACTAAGTCTCCAAAAATGGCCGCCATCACGTTCCTTCTCTTCTTGCATGCATATACTGCTCCTCTCATCAAGGGATAGAGTCTAATTCACCTTCCCTCAAAACTAAGTTGGTCTTAGTGACTTGCTTGACTAGTGGAATATGGTAGAAGTGATGTTCTGGGACTACCAAAGCTAGGTCAAAAGAAACCTTGTAGCCTTGATCTTTATGAATGCTTGCCCTTGAGATGCTTCCTTGCGGAACCCAGCTGCCATGCTGACAAGCCCAGCATTAGCTGCCAACCAAGTGAATGACCCATCTCGGATATCTGAGCTCAACTGATCCCCCAGATAACTGCCATTCCAGAGAACATTACACAAAGCAGAACTGCCCAGCTGAATCCAGTTAACCCACAGGATTGTGGGTGATAATAAAATGGTGGTTGTTTTAAATTTTGGGGTGGTTATATATATAGGGTCTCTCTGATTCGGAATCCACTTGATGGCAATTTTTTTTTTTAAATACAAGAATATCTAACTGGAACAAGATTCTTGACCTGTTAACCCGTTGCGTCAATTCTGACTCATAGTGACCCTATAGGACAGAGTAGAACTGCCCCATACAGTTTCCAAGGAGCTGCTGATGGATTTGAACTGCTGATCTTTTGGTTAACAGCCGAGTTCTTAACCACAGCGCCACCAGGGCTCCAAGATTTTTGACAGGTATATCTATATTTGTTCCTCCATCTCATTTAACATGTTTTGCTTGGAATTCACACAAGGGGTAGAGTTTTGTTTAAGGGAGTTCTGGTTGATATCTAATGGAAGGATGGTGGTAATGTAACAGAAATTAAAAAACAAGCAAGCAAACCTGCTATACCAAAACAACGTTATTTTGGTTATTTATTTGGCTGCAATATATCTTTTCAGCATCATCTCCCACAGTACTCCCATATCCTTACACCCTAGTCACGTATTAGATTACACCACTGGTTTTCAACCCTGACTGTGCATCAGAATCATCCAAGGGACTTTTAGAATAACATAGGTGTCTGGGCCTTATGGAGTCCTGGTGGTGCAGTAGTTAAGTGCTATGGCTGCTAATCAAAAGGTCGGCAGTTCGAATCCACCAGCTGCTCCTTGCAGATCCTATGGGGCAGTTTTACTCTGTTCTGTAGGGTCACTATGCGTCAGGATACACTCGATGGCAATGGGTTTTTTTTTTTTTTTTCTTCTGGGCCTCATCTCACCCTCAGTGAATTAGCTCTCCACAGTAAGGGCCTTGGGAGTTTTTTCTTTTTTTTCCTTAAAAATTTTTTTTTTCCCTTCACGTAACCCTGACACTTGGCTAGGGTTGAGCATTACTGGATTATACAAACACATCCTACAGCTCTTGCCTCCATATTGTTGTTCACATTGTTCTAGTTTGGGAAGCTTTTCTTTTTCCTCTCCACATGTGGAAATTCTACTTAACCTACGAGGCCCAGCTCTGATCCCATCACCTCCCTGAACCCACTGCTACCTGAAAATCGTATCTTGTAACACAGTTCATAATATGGCTTGTTCCCATGGGCATGGACATAGTACCATCTTATCCATGGCCATGTCTATAAAGTTCCCTACTAACCCCTTTAAAATTTAGTTACCACTTAAAATGGATAATAAATTTTTATCAAATGCTTTTAAAAATGTCTACTGATAATCATCATATGATCTTTCTCCTGTATTTTGTTAATGATATATTATAATAGATTTACTAAACATTGCACCATTCTGTCTTCTTCGAATAACTCATTCCTAATCATGGTGTATTATTCTTTTAATACACTCTTGGATTCTGTGTGTTAATGTTTATTTAGAATATTAATTTAGCCTAGCACAACACCGTGCACACAACAGAGGGGTTTAAAAAATATCAAATTAAAGATTTTAAGGCAATCGATCCTAGAAAGATAATTGGGCAAAATTCAATTACTAGTCATTTCCAAAGAAGATGCTATTATCGCTAAGAAGAGGCTTGGACACTCTTGACTCTAGTTTTTAGTTACATAATTTATTTCTGCTTTATCAATACTTCTAGCTAGAGGAACACTTCCCTGCTTCTCTGACACACTGCAAACAAAACTGCAGGTGCAAACTGTCCATGAAGTTCCACTTCACTGATTTACAGACATACACGGACATTGTGAGGGCACACACTTATCTTCTCATCCCAATTAGAAATAAACTCTTGCCTCATATGAGATGAAAAATTTAATCTGATTACAGCATTATTTTAAACTGTCTAAAGAGATTATGATTTATGAATGCCTATACTTATTTTTAATACTTTAATCAGTGACACCTATTATGATCATCAAATAAATGTCAGGTAGTCCCTGACTTATGACGCATTCGAGTTACGACGAACTGCATTCACGACAGTCTTTTTTTTTTAAAACACCTTATGGATAGTAATGTGTACTACATTCTATGTTGTGGCGCTTAATTTGTTGATGTTATCATTCTCAAGCCAACCTCCAAAGACACATAAAGATCGGACTTATAAAGATACTGATAATAAAAGGCAATAATAACTAAAAAAATAAAATAAAATAAGATATTCGATTTATGTCAGAACTGACTTATGACATAAGCCATCAGAACGGGACCCCACTGTAAGTTGGTGACTACCTCTACAGTGAAAATAATAAGAACAATACTGATATGTTTAGGAAGTTCCCTCTTAATCCTTTAAAATTTAATTACCAGTTAAAATGGATAATAAATTTTTATCAAATGCTTTTTAAAATGTCTACTAATAACCATATGAACTTTTTCTTGTATTTTATTAATGATATATTAATTACTTCAATAGACTTATTAATATTGCATCATCCTTGTCTTCTTAGAATAAATCATTCCTAATCATGGTGTATTATTCTTTTAATACACTCTTGGAGTCTATGTGCTAATGTTTATTTAGAATATTCATTATTATTATTAATAACATTATTATTCACTATTTAAGATATTCTATAATTTTCTTTTTGGGGTTAGTTTTTCATGTTTTGATATTAGAGATATGCAAGCTTCCCATCCTTTTCTATACTTTGGAATAGTATAAACAGCCTAAGAATAATCAATCCCCTTGAAGGCTAAACAAACTCACTTGTAAAAACATCTGGGTCTGGATCTTTTTTAGCTGTGTGTCTTTAATAACCTTTTTAATTTCTTCTTGGTAATTGGTCTGTTTAGGTTTCAACCTCTTTTTGAACCAACATATCTTTTCAGCATTATTTCTCATAGTACTCCCATATCCTGACACCCCCTCCCCCTTCCTTTTTTTTCTGGTAGAAAATCTTTACTCTAGATTTTAAAATGTATTGGCTTAAATTTGTACATAGTATTTTTTGTAATTATTCTAATCTCATCTGCTTCCTTGGTTGTACTGATTTTCTTTTTCCTAATGTATATTTTTGTTTTCTATTTATATTAGGTTTGTCAGGAGTTTAGCTATGTTGTTTGTTTATTTTAAAAACTGACATGAGTTTTATTTCCATTTTGGGAGGATTACTGTTTTATTTTCTGCTTTGTTGATTTCTATTTTTATCTTTTTAAAATTCCCCTGTCTAGTTTCTTTGTTTTTGATTCTTCTTCTTTTTTTTTTGTTTTTGAGTCGAAGCTTGGCTTATTTTTTTCAGTTTTAATTAATGATAGAACATTTAGTGCTATTAATTGTCCTTCGAATGTTAAATTATCCACATTCACAGATTTTTAAATAAACTTTTTGTGTTTTTATTCATCTTTAAATAATATGTAATTTACCTTTAATTTTTTCTTTAATCCAAGAGTAAACTATTTTGAAGAATAGTTTAGAAAAGTATTTTAAAATTTCCATATGGTCAGGTTATTTTTGGCTATCTTTCAATTGTTGGATTTCTAGTTTTATTACATCACAGCCAGAGAATGTAACCTAGACAATTTCTACTTGGAAGAATTTATTATGGTTTTATTTATGATTATGTGCATAACTGGTTTGTGTTCTATGGGATATAAGGGGAGAATGGGTATTCTCTTCTAAGTGTAAAGTTGTTTCTTTATCAAGAGTTTGTCTTACACAAATCCTTATCTTTTTGTCTACTCTATTTGTCAAACTCTGAAAGAGAACTGAGTTTTTGTTTTCTTTCCCTCAGTATCTCCTTGTACTTAGGAGAATTTCTGCCTCATACATATTGGCCTTATGTTTTTGGGAAATACAATATATGATACAAAATATATACATACATATACAATTAAATTATATATATTTATTCCATAAGAGAGTGTGAACTGTGCAAGACAAATTTCTACTCAGTTCTCTAATAAAATAATCCCAACAAGGCCAAGGGCCTATATGTAAAAATAATAAATCACTACCTTTTGCAGTCAAATATAAAGGAATAGCATTTCCTAATAGTTGTTCCCTAGTTTATGTTGTATTATCCCATATATCAAGAGGTCTTCCTCAGCCTTAACTTGCTAATTTACTGGCTGTCCTGCAGTTTCTGACCCAGAGTCTTCCAATCCTAAAATTGTAATTTTAAATATCCCAAATGATGACAATGTCTATAGTCTCATAGGATTTAAAATATCTACTACAAGCAAATTTGGTTCCAAGTTTATGAGAACAAAACATCGTAAATTTTCCTGACAGTAAAAGATAAATTCCCTTCGCTTAGGAATTATTATACTTCCGTGCCTCAAAACTTCTGGTGGAAGACTAACTTAAAACCAGTTTAAGTCACATGTGAAGCATAAATTTATTAATTTTTATTTTGAAAGTTTTATAAGTAATGGACAATACTGATAAAAAATGTTTCAAGGTTTTAATGCAGGAAGGAAAGTTCTCAACAATATAGTCAATTAATTTCTACTCCAGAATTCCTTAAGCTTAATAAATCTAAATATCCTCAAAGACAAAATATAATGGTATATTTATATGTAAAAATATGTTGAGGGAAACAATGAATGCAATACATAAAGACTAACATTTAGAAATCTATGACAAAGGTGGCTTCTAACGATAACA